GGTTTTTAAAAAAAGAAAAAAAATTGTTCAGGTGAGCCTTATGCCTTGAGTATCTGATTTATTATGTAATTAATTGTTGCATTAATTTTCTAATCATTAACCATTAATTATCTAAAATAACGTTTTAAAAAATAGTATTGGTCTTCTCTCAGTTCTTTGATGAATTTCCTTATTGGCTGCTGCTTCTACGCGCTTAGTGGCTGCTGTTATTGGCTGCTAGCTTCAGCCTGGTCTTGCTGGCACTACAATTAGTTTAGGCCCGGGTGTTTCAGATGAAACAACGGGCATGGCTGGTGGCGGAGGATGGCACGGAAGGGTGAGGGGTGGACTCCTGGCATATCTGGAAGTGTTTCCTTGTTGTTGCGGTGAATAAAAACCATCCTTTCGGCGCAGCGGTTTTTTTTCCCCATTTCTTTTTCAGCTGTACTGGCATTAAACCTACATATGTGCAAAGCACATCTCTATCAGATGGATCAGACACACCTATTTTTTTCACCAGCTGCTTTTGTTCTGCTGTCAGTGCTCGCCTTTCAGTTTTTTTTGTTGTTTTTTGCATAAATGCGGGGGAACTCCCGTTTCCAGTGCCGGGATTTTTTAGAATTTAAAGATTAGATATTACCAATATTTTTAATGATTTGCAATTTTATTCACTACAGTTAGAACGAAAAAAAATCAATTTATGAATTTATTAATACGCTTATTTTTGTCCTGAAATTATGATGGATTGTCAAATTATGCTTAATTCTCCCGTCTCCAATATTATTAAATTTATTACAATGGGTTTTTTTTAACCCCTGAAAATATTATTAGCAGTATCAATTTCATTTTTTTATTTTTCCCATTCTACAGTAAAACATGCAAAACAGGGAATAACAACACGTTGCAGAACGTGAGAATCTATATGATATGTTCGCATAAATCCTTTTTGTATTTTAATTAACAAAAATATTTTCAGTATTATGCGTGTTGTTTCCAACTTTTACGAGAAGCCCCGAATTTTACAGTCGACTGTTTACTTGGACATATAAACGTGTATCTCTACGGAGGTACAATGAGTTGATAATTTTTTGTTAAAAAACTTTTTTTGGTTTTGAAACACGTACGGGTATTTTGGACAGGCCCCCCCCCCCCCCCCATATTCAATATTAAACCCCGGGGGCTATTGATTACAAAAAAAATACTCCTTTTTACCTTATAAGAAAAAGGCTTTTTATAATGTATTGAGGAATATTTTTTGTGTTGCGGTTATTTTGGGGTTTTTACTTTTTTTTCTTTTTTGTAACCCCATGATAAATGAATAAATATACTTTGTAAAAAAAAAAAATGTCAATAAGCCCGGGGTTAATAGGGGGGGGGGTTCCTGTCCACACGTACCTCCCTTTAAATTTCCCCCTTTATTTTGTTGAAATAAATGTCAAGCTAAATATTTTTACGTAAAAGAGCTTCCGTACTGTCCTAGTGTAGAGTAATTTGTCAACTGTAAAAGTCAGGCATTTTGTAAAACCAATATCTAAAGTAATTATTTATATTTTTCCCGAGATACATTTTTTTTTTCCTTTCGACAAAAGAATTATAATTTTTAATTGCAATATTCTTTTTTTTTATTATTTATGATGTAATTTATTTTAGATCAAATAACATAATGATATGTGCCCATCAGGGCATACAAGTAATATATAAACATACAAGAAGAAAATCAAAATTGGTAGTAGCAATAACAGAAGATTAAAGGTGTTACTAAAAAAGTGAAGTATTTTGGGAAATGTAGTATTGTAAGCATAAAAATGTATATTGAAAAATTTGGCATTTAAAAAGTTTCCTTTTTAAACCCCCCCCCCAACCCCATTTGGGAAAGGTATTAATTGATGACACATAGCTATATATTGAGTTCTTATTTTCTAGAAACTTCAAATCCGTTTTCATAATTGTAGATATATAGATTGATTAACTATCTATACATATATTCATTTAACGTTAAACCATTGTGAGTCACTTTTGTAAAATGACGTTATTCAACGAAACATAAACACAGTTAATAATGTTTTCTTTTAGGAAAAATGAATATAGATAGGCATTACTTTTAAAAAAAATGTAAAAAAATTTTTTCAGGTATTTAAAAATGCATTTTAATTATATTACATTATTTTATTGTATAATAAGAATATTATTCATTTTCTTTTCTTGATTCCTAGGTTATCTGCATTTAAAACTAATATTAAAGCTTTAAAACTTCCATTGACGTATATATATCTTTTGTTTTTTTTTTGTCTCCCCCAGTTGCCGTCTAAAATAAATTAATAATCGTAATAATATTTGTAACTATATTATGATAAATCAGTATTACATCATTTTTCAATACCACTGTAATCGTGCCAATTTTCTTCTTGGAAACACAACAAATTATACTTTGTGTGTATATATAGTTTTAAAAAAAAATGTATATAAACTTTTTATTTACCTCCACTTCATCTAAACTGCTGGATGTAGATCATTCATCTCGTCTGCATGTTATGAACCCAGGCTGCTGTCGCTTAGATACGGAGACGCGGAAGTGAAAAGGTATGGCTAATACAAGGAAAGATGGTGTAATAATCATGATACTCCGTACAGATCCCTGTAATTATACGAGTGTTATGAATTTTTCATCTGTTAGGGTATTTATGATCTTAGCTGGTATTTTTTCTTTATGCACATTCTAAATGTTCATATGACAAAACTTTCATATGCTTGTAATTTCCATTACCATGATGTAAATAGGAAAAAATTAAAAAAAAAATGGTCCGCCCAAAAACACCATCGTAATTTTTTGTATATAAAAAGCTTAATAACATGTTTCATATGTAAAAATTTAAGAGTGGTGTTATGATGCGGACCTATTCAATTACGCTTGTTAGTCGTTAAAATTTATTGATTTTTTCGGAAAAAAGGTTCCCTGCATACTTTGACTATTTAAAAAAACCTCTTACTAACACATTTTCCAAAAATTTGATTATTTTTTAATCAAGGATGGTTTTTAATTTTAGTATGCAGTTTTATTAAGTTGATTCATTTTTTTTAAATTTATGGGGGCCAAATGTGATATCAAACGAATTTTATTCTTCTGTACTTGACATTAGTTAATCACAGTCTTAATCACTTTTGGACGGATTTTTGTCGACCTTGGATTAGCTGCCCTTTCTGGACTTCAATTCCTTCGAGCTGGAATTTTTGGTTCCCCCTTTTTCTGCTGGTTATCTGAAAAAGGCAAAAAAACTGACAGCAGATTACTGCAATTTGGTATTATTTTCATTAGCCAATGGTTGCATTGTCTAATGATATTAGTAGCTGGTATGTTTGGGATATGTACATATATATATATATATATATATATATCTTATATGGGATAGTGTATAGGGGAGTGCATATTCGGTACTGAGGAATAACAAACTTTTGCAGCGGTCAAATTTTCGATGTATTTGAGGCCTGAAGAGACCTGTACCTTGTCTACATTAGCTTATTTACAAAACTTGACCCACGAAAGCATGCGATTTCCCAGAAGTATAAAATTACACCTATCAGAAGGGGGTGGGGGGGTGGGTAATAACTTGTAATGGCTGTTTTCTTGCCGCGCTATTTTTCTGAGTGACGGAAGCGGAAGTGATACCAACTAATTAACTCGTACCAAGATGACTTTAAGATTTTTGCCAATTCGTTCCATTATTAGTTTTAACAACATATGTGCTTCCATCAATTAAATGAGATTAATTTGGTACAAGGGCAAATTAATCTGCCTTAATTGAACAGTCAGGTGATCGCTGCCCTGCAGGACCTGACATGCATTGCTCTTTGATTCCTTATGCTCATAAGATCACTATACCTTTTCCTTGGTGTTAACTTTGCAATAGACAACAGTTGGATGGTTTTCATTGAATTTATTAAAGACTTGAAAAAACATACATGTACAAACTTGTGTTATTGATAACTGTGATGGACAAAAAGGAAGTTGGCATTAATAGGCCGCATTGCATAGATGTACAATAAAGAATAGGGTCCGGAAGGACAACTGGCATACCCACTAAAGAGTACCGGGCAAAACCAGTGGCCCTGTGTTGGTCACAGGTGCCTGGGATCCCAAATTTGGGTACTAGACTTTTGGGGCCCCGGGAGAGTTGCAGCACATCTGTATACCCTGTTTCCAGGGATTGCTTCTGGTCAGCAGTACTTTAACACCCAAGTACTCCAGTACTAAGCCTCCCCTCCTGCAAGAGGTGGAGGGGGCCCAGGCCTGCAGGCTTGGCAAAGACCCCAATGAAAAACTTCTTACTTGACTTTTTACTTTACTTTTGTTCAACATTGCCATAGGTTGGATACTTTGTAGACAACCTGTCTACCAACAAAGTGCCCACCAACTTATCTGCTGGCTGGGCAGGGAAACAACAGCCAGATATGTTCACAACCCTCCCCACTTTCCCCCGGACCCGCCACAGACATAGATATGATGTTCCTCCATTACTTTATATTAGGGGATACTTTCCCCTTCCCTGTAATGAGGGACCACAAACCACTTTTGACATTATTTAAAAAGGTTCTATTACCCAGCTCGGAGAGATGCTTTTCCATCAAATCTGAACATGTCCGTATTAGCAACACAAATGTTTCCATGAGAAATAACACCCCCACCCAATTCTGTGACAAATTTAGAAATATTTTTGTTGATTTTTTGCGTTTTTGTAATCTTTTTCCACTGTTCAATGGGGCTCCATGCCAATAACGGCGTGGTAGAATATGCGACCACATCAGTTTAGTATTTGGGAGAAGGGCATTATATCGCAGGAAGCTGCACTGAATCTCTTGTATGAATTTTTTGCTAGTTAAGTTTGGAGTTACCAAGTCATTGGATCCTAAATGAATTACTAAGTAATTGGGGGGTACTTCTTGTTTGATGAGCTGTAGGATTTTTGGATCGAGTTCCTGCCAGTGCATTCCCCTGCGTGTTCTCCATGACAGTGTGGCAGGGAGGTTCAGGCTTTGTCCCCCTGGGCAGTGTTTGGCTGCTTCCCCTGCCCAGTAAGGGATGGAAGATCCTATGATCCATATTTTTTGACCTGCAATGCTTTGGGTTGGTTAGTTCTGGGTTAAAATTAATTTATATGTACATGTTCAAGCACCCCTCCCCCAAATGTCCTAAATTTTTTTTTTTTTTTATATATAGGTGTGGGCATGTTGTTGAATGAGTTACGTGATCCTTATGTATTTAAGAAAAGCTACTGATTTCCGTCTAACAACCTTCTGAATTTCAGAATCTGGTGTGCCCTGTAACGCCAGGTCTGTTGCCCTATTAATTCGAAAGCTATGCGTGCCAAAGTGACCTGCTGGTGTCGGTATAATGTTTTCAATGGCATTTTGAAGGACGGCATTGAATTGATATCTAGTTAATGGTTTTGTATCGAGATGAATTAGGAAACAGTGGTTGACAGGGGTATGGGGCCTACATTCTATAAATTCAAAGTAGCTTTAACTGGGCACAAGGTAGCAAGCGGTTGGCTATGGATAATGAATGTGGTATTCTTCCCAACCTGATCAGTTTTGGAGTGCGGTATTGTTAACCTTAAATAGGGCTTGTCTTGTTGAGTTTGAATGTGTTGGAGTTGTATGCAATGGGATGTATTTGGCGTGTTTGGGTTGATTACAGTGAATTCCCCGACGCGGAGTAATGCAAAGTATGCGAGTGAAAAGGCACATGTAAACAATTTAACCTCGTAGGTAAAAGTGACATACAGACTGAAGCGATGCGATGAGCTTTTTTAATATTGATATGGTGATTGGGAGGCGACTGTCTGGGGCCGCTCGGTTGTTGCGCTTTAAGCCTTGTAGCGCTTTGTTGATTTGGAAGGACTTAGTAGGGTCGGGTAGGTGGTTAATTTTGTGGTAATAAGATAATGCGCTGATGTACAGGGACACTGAATTGTGTGACATTTTCTGGATAGATAAGTAGGCTATAAAATGTAGTAATGTGTCACTGCGTAGGGGCCAGGTTTGCTGTAAGCCGTAAATGTTTAAAAATGATTGGAATTTATTCAGTGCAGCCCGGTAAGCTTTGTATGAATTTTGTGATAAAGAACTGTGGATAAGGCGTTTGGATTCAGCAATTAAATCTCCCATATCTGCTTGGGAAGCTGAGTGGGCCACATCTCTGCTTCTGGAGCCAGGTTGCGAAATTTCCCCACTGTGAACGAGAAAGACTATCAGCTATTTTGTTCAATTTTGTTGGAATGTGTTGGGCTTTGATTGTGATGTTATGTTGCAAGGTGAGGAGGACAAGTTTTCTGACAATATTCATAACCCTATTTGATTTAGACGTTGATGTGTTGATAACTTGTACGACTGCCATGTTGTCAATGTGGAAAAGTATGCGTTTGTTTGATAGCCATGGGTGCCATAAAAGGATTGATACGTATACTGGAAATAGTTCTAAGAATGTCATGTCACGAATAATGTCGGAAAAAACCCAGTGTGTAGGCCATTTTGAGTGAGCCCAGCGGCCAGCAAAGAAGATTCCAAACCCCCATTAGATCCCCCTGCACTGTCTGTGAATAGTTGTAGACTGTTATCTGATGACCAAATACCCGAGGTTATGACTGTAACCCCATTAAAATGTTCCAAAAACTGTTGCCACACTGCAAGATCTGATTTCATGCCTTGGTTAACTCTTATCATGTGATATGGCTTTTTGACGCCAATAGTGGCATTGACTAGACGCCTGCAAAAGGCTCTACCGGGTGCTACTGTTTTGCAGGCAAAGTTGAGGAGTCCGATCAGTGATTGTAAGATTTTTTGGGAGACCTTTTTACTTAACATGACTGTCTGAATGCTTTGCCGTAGCGAAGCTAACTTGTCTTGGGGGAGTCGCATTACCATTTGAATTGTGTCAAATTCGATTCCCAGAAAAATTATAGTTGTGCTGGGCTTAGTAGTTTTGTCAAGAGCTATCGGTATTCCAATATGGCTACATGTGTTTTGAATTGGTCGAGTGTAGATTGGCACTGGCTAGAATTTGGTGGTCCCGCGAAGAGGAAATCATTAAATAGTGTAGAATATGGGGGTTGCGTGATGTAGATTGGATGATCCAATGTAATGCAGTTGCGAACTTCTCCCAGATTGCACAGCTAATTGATGCCCCGAATGGCATCATTTTGTCAAAAAAGTATTTACCCTGGAACTTAAACCCCAATAGATCGAAATCATCTATGGCCACAGGAATAAGCCGGAATGCAGATTTTATATCAGATTTAGCTAGTAAAGTGCCTGCCCCCAGTGTCGCGATGATAGCCGCTGCATCGTCTACTGATGCGTAATGTACAGAACATGCAGCCGGATCTATGAAAGAATTGATCATTGTTGATCGGGAAGGAAAGGTGGTGAATGAGTCTGAAATCTCCGTCTTTTTGACAATTTCCTAAGGGGGAGATTTGAAGGGATGAAAAAGGTGGATATTCAAATGGTCCCCCACCCTGCAAAGCAGCAGTTCTTTATGTATTTTGTGTTCCACTATACTGGGGTTTGCTATAGCACTTTTTAAATTTTTTGCTTCCCTGTAAATTCTTGGGCCATTGTACTGGAGACGAAAACCGCGTAGAAAACCATTTATAAGAAAAGATTTGGCACTGTAACCTTGTAGATAAGCAGACAAAATGTGGACATCAATTGGAGTTTTCCCTAAACTGTTGATATCCATGTTAGAATTTGGCGTATCTATTCCTGCATTTGATCGAGGGGTGTGATCCGCCGCATGAATTGCAGGAGTGGACAAACCTGCAATTTGGGTAAAATTTACATGACTTGCCTGAATTAAAATCATAGCAGTAACGATTTGATGTTGAATTAGCATTTCCTTAGCCACTGTATTGTTGGGCTGTTTGTGATGAGGGTAGAAATTTTGTGGGGGGGATATGGGCTTTTCTTGGGCCTGCGTGACGTAGTTGTTTGTAACATGTATCAACCAGAGTTCAGAGTTTATGATACCCCAAGATGAGTGTGGGTGAGATACTTTTCGCAGCCTAAACTGTTCATCATAGGTGAACCAACCATTCCCAGATCTGTCAGCGGCCATTCTAATATCCCTCATATATTTCAAAAATTCTTGTGCTCGTGTTCTGAATTTTTCTAACATTATACTAGTGAAGATCAGGAAGGCCACGTCCATTTTTCAATTGACAAAAAGGTGCGTGTTTTTTGTTTAACAAGGCACATTGTGCCATTACGTATTTGTATTTGGCCTTGTGTGTCTAAATGATCTGAAATTTCCCGGCCGAAATTAAGCAATATTGACAGATCGATAAATTTTCCTCCCAAATCTTTTGTTTGATTTTTAGGGGGACGTGGGCGCTGATAGGGATTTGAGCTGGGAGTCTGGGCTGGTTGTTAGTCCGAGATGTTAAATGGGGGGCCATCGAATTCATCATTCATTGAGTTTAGAGATATATCATTTACTGTGGGGAGGCTGAAAACATTGGACTCACCCGCGTTGCTAAAAGCCTCGACCTCGTCAGGGCCCTCTGGGAGATTCGCTGATTCCGACATGGGGTCCGCCACCGTTACTGTGGCTGGTTGCGTTGGTGTTCTCCTGGCCGCGTTCCCCCTATTCGGTGGTCTGTTGGTTGGTGGGTCAGCTTGCGGGGTCCGATTGGCATGGTTTGGTCGCCTCCGGATCCCTCGCCCTCTGCCCGGTGAGACAAAATTACGCTCCCGCTCCTTCCTGGAACGCGTATTGACTCTTTCTCTGACTGGCGGCATTGTTTGACGATCGCAGTCTGCAGATTGTTTTTGCTTTTTCTTAATAACTTGTAATGGCTGTTTTCTTGCCGCGCTATTTTTCTGAGTGACGGAAGCGGAAGTGATACCAACTAATTAACTCGTACCAAGATGACTTTAAGATTTTTGCCAATTCGTTCCATTATTAGTTTTAACAACATATGTGCTTCCATCAATTAAATGAGATTAATTGGTAAAGGGCAAATTAATCTCCTTAAAAATTGTGACTAAAAAAATTTTAAATTGCTTCGCATAATCAATAATATTATTTGACCTTTCTGCACTAATAAAAAGTGATTTTTCTGGCAATAAAAATTTAATAAGCAAGAAAATTATTTCAAAGTCTTAAACTTTTTCTGAATTTAAGCAAATAGGTCAAAGTTATCTTAGATATTTAGAAAAGAACATCAAAAGATATTACTAAAAAAGTGTCAATTTTACGTTAAAATTGGTTCAAATTTTTCCACAATTTTCAGAATATATTTACTACATTTGTCACACTTCGTTGAAACAATTCATAAAAAATAATTTAATAGATATTTCAGAACCAGCATAACACATTTAACTGCAAAAA